TAAAGTTGTAATTTAACAACAGCCAAGCCTTCCTAGTGCTACCCCATTCCAGGACTAGAACAGACTCAGGATGTGTCTGCCTTCAGAGCCATAGGCAGCACAGCAAAGTTTCTTGCTTCGGATTATAGGGAGCTTCCCAAAGAGGTATGCTAAAAGCGAGGAAGAGACTGAAAGAGAGAGAACTCTTTCACAGTGAAGAACACAAATGCAGTTACAGGTTCCTCTTTGCATAAGCCTCAAAAACAAGAGCAACACAAAAAAAATGACACTTTTCTGCCTGTTAAAATCCACTGGCGGTGATGCATTTGACAGACACTTAAAAAACTAGAAAGCTACAGAAGGAGCAGCTCTATTGCCACTTCACTAATGCAACCAACGTGCCAACGCTTGTTTTCTCCTCCCTCCTCCACATGATTATTCTGCCTGTGCTTTCTATTCCTCTGCACCACTTCACAGCCATGCCAAGCTGGGAGACTTCCCATGGTAACCTCCCCTGTTTGGAACGCGTTCAGCCAGTGCTGGATGCCATCACAAAAGGAAACCAGCAGAGGCTGGACAACTATGCCATTTGCTAACGTCTGTACATTCTCACCTTGCCAGGGCTTTGCCTCTTGAAAACGAAGAGATTGTTGAAGAAGTTGGTCCAGGTCACCCATCCTTCAGCCAAATGGTGACAAAGTTCGGGCACCCCGAGCAGCCGAGGGTGTACATATCCCCAGCTGCAGTGAATGGGAAAAAAATCAGCAACAGATATTAATTACTGCATTGAATTCAGTGCAGACATCCCTTGTGACAAGCACTTGTCACCACACCACTTTCTCCTCTCGCCCAGCTGCTCAGCTCTCGAGAGGAGCATCAGCCTGCCTCTCAGAGCAGCGCCTTGCCAAGAGCAGCGCTCTGCATCCCCTTCTGCAGGCGTCTCCGTTCTCCCACAGCAGCTGAGGAGCAGTGATGTGAGTCACTCAGCCTCTTGCTGTCTTAAGACTAGAGCTTCCACGCTACTGGAAGGGAAGGGGCACGGCAGAAGCAAATCAAGTGAAGCCATTTGCTTTCTCTGCATCGACTTGGTCAACAGCAACCCCCAAAAATTCAGCATGAGGCTTCCAGGCAGCCTTGTACCTTACTTAATAGATTCTGTTACTTTGGAGGTATTATCTTTGGCAGGTTCTATTAGTGCTTCTTAACTGCTAGTCACAGGAACCTGAAGCTTAGGAACAGCAATTCCTTTTGTCTTTGGGCCTCTTGCAGTAAACAAACAAACTTCTCTGGCAACAGCTCAAGTGATTTAATCAAGAGCTGAGCATCCAAGTGTGGCCGGGCAGCACAAGCAGGCAGAAAGGTGTGCCCAGAGAGAGGAAGGTGTTATTAGGAAGGCAACACCCAAACATTTCTCAACCCACTGTTATTAAAGCTGCAGTCAGGTCAGAACTATGCAGGAACAGCTTCTGGGAAATGCCTCTTTAAACGTTCCAGATCTAGTCTCAGAAGATTTCTTTCTTTCCAGCAAAAGCCCTAGTTGTTTTCCTACTGCTGGAGACCCACACAAAAGGAATTGGTTTTCAGGCAGCACCTCCAACCCGGGGGTGCAAGTGGAAGTTTTACAACACTCAAGCAAGCATTAACTGCCGGGCAATCTGAAGGCAGAGATTAACTATAACATAATGGCTTGGGCAAGTCAAAAACCTGTCACAACAGCACGACGGAGGGCTCCATCCTCACTGCATTAAGCAGCTCCCTACTCCCCTTCCTTCCTCTCTAAGAAGCCAACATTCCAAGCACGTGCAGGTACCAATTCCACGGGATCACAGCAAAGCACCGAAGAGCAGAGGATTCAATTAGTTTCCTACCTCTCATTGTCTAAGTCGTCAGGTCTTGCCACTAAAATATTAAGAACAGACACGACATTAGTTGCAAGGAATTTGCCATAAGAATGCTTAGCTCTTGGGATTTAAGTAAAGCTTTAATGAGTTGGGAGGTGCCTGGAAAAGACATTAACTGTTAAGAACCAGAGACGCATCACTCCGTAACACATTCTGAATTTGTACAGTGACGGTACAAGACTGCAAGAGAGCCTCCTTGCTGCTCCTCAGCCTTGTTGGACAGCATCTGGAAGGCTCTGGTTGCAGTAAGAGGTATTTGCAAAAAAAAAAGTTCCACTTTTATCTCCCTCCCTTCCCCTGCACACACCCAGAAGGTGAAGGACAAACAGTTTGCTTATTCGGAGCCATCGGATTTATGCCTTTTGATATTTTTTCACCCAGACCAGGCTTGAAAAGCGAGCCAGGGATGTACCAGTTCTCCTGACGAGTTTAAATCAAGGTTATGCAGGAGCTGGGCAGACAACTCTCCACACTTCCCTCACCAGTAAGAACACTTTGGTTGTAAAACCTACAGAAAGCTGATGGCAGGAACCAAGTGAAGCTTTAATGTCTTCCAAAGAACTACCCAGAACACAGGCTGAGGCACAAAAGCTGGGGTAGAACCTGCTCATTAGTTACAGAACTCTCTCTGGGAGCATGGAAACCACATGCACTGCTTCAAAGGTCATCTGACCATGCAAAAGCAACAAAATCCTGCTTGGATTGGTATTATTCATGAGCATACTAATATTACAAACGAGAAAAAGAGCTGCTTTGTTCCCTGAAAGCTTAAGACTAATTTAATTAACAGCCGTTAAGATGCCTCTCCTTTTAATGAATTCTCTACTTTGTAGGCAAGGCTGGGACTCATCCCTGTCTTAAACCTTGAAGCTGATTTATTACCAAATCCGAGGAGAAATCCAGACGTATTTCATAAACGCTTGCTTTTATATTGGATTTTTGAAATTTTAATTTCTTGCTCCTGTATTGAATGCTTAGAAGATGAATCACTGCTTCAAAACCTGCCCTAACTCTCACACACAGCAGCTGTTTCAAACATTTCCATTTAGCAAAACGCTCTCTTTATTCTAGAGTTCTTCTCTTAGCAGAATATTCTGTACAACACAGGTTGCGGAGATCATTTCCTTGTAACTCAAGAATAGTTTGTACTTCACTAAAATTAGACAGAGATGACAAAAGCCCCAACTGGTGAATATTCCAACACGCCATAAAACCACACCTGACGAGCGAACAAGAGCCTGGGGTGACACCCCACAAGCAGAAGCATCACAAACAAGTAGGCTACTTCATAACGTGTTAAAAGATCTCAAGTCTCTACAAAGCAGAATGGAAGGGGAAACTCAGAAGGTTACAAGACACTGGCAGAAAAACCTCTTGTTATTTACACAGGTTAGGGCTTCCCAGAGCAACTCCAGGAAGAACGTGCCTACAGCATTCTTGCCTGCTTCTGGATTCACACCAGAAAAAAGCCCTGGATTTTACCTCTTGAACTCCAAACGCTGCACGCTCTAGATCTAAAAACAGTACTTAACGTTCTGATATTAACTTAAACCTTGCAACTTACCTCCAATTTCAGGCCAGATTTTGTTCTTCCACTTATCTATACAAACTACTACAATAAGAGTAAACGCAACCAGGAACACCAATCGAAGAGAAGTCAGAGCAAAGAACCTATGAGGAAGAAATAAGCAGATAAATAACCAGCACGATCTGCCTGACGCAGACAAAAGGAGACACAAACCACCCTCACAACTTGGTTACAGCTACAGCAAGAGAACAGAAAGCAAGCAGTAATCAGGCAGCAATCAGCCTGCCCGCACTGCTTGGGCCAGGAGCTTATCTCACAGCCGCCTTGAGAAGGTTTTACAGTATCTGCTTGTGTCATTTCTAGCACAACCACCCTCGTTTACAGCTCACGGGCCAGAGGCGAGCAGAACCTCCTGCCCTTCCCCTGCTGTTCACCCACCAGCTCAGTTCCTGCTGCCTGGTTTGGTGCTGTTATGAGAGGGACACGCTGAGAGGGACAAAGCTAAAGCAGAGCTCAGCGCTTCCAGCGCTTGTTGGACACAAAAACAGGTCACCAAGTCAAACTGCTCGCCCAGCAGCTCGGCCCGCAGCCCAAAACCCAAAGCGTAACCGGCTGGCTGCGGGAAGGGCTCTGAGGAGAAGGCAGCGCTCAGCAAACCCCGCGAGGGGCAGGAACGGGGGGCACAGAGCAAAGCCCCTACAGCACCGAGGGGCTCTGCTCGGGGTGTTGGGGGCAATTCCTGAGGTTTTGGGGGCTCTACACAGGATTTTGTGGCCCTGCCCGGGGTTTCAGGGGCAAAGCCCGTGGTTTCGGGACACTGCCCGGGGTTATGTGGCCCTACCCGGGGTTTTAGGGGCAATGCCTGAGGTTTTGGGGTCTCTACACAGAGTTTTGGGGCCCTACCCAGGGTTTAGGAGCCCTGCCCAGGATTCTGGGGGCCCTGCCCGGGGTTTTGGGGGCTCTACACAGGGTTTTGGGGCCCTACCCGGGGTTCAGGGGCCCTGCCCAGGATTTTGGGGGCAATGCCCGGGGTTTTGGGGCCCTGTCCCCCCCACCCCAGCCCCCAGCCCCCCCAGGGCTCGCTGCCAGGCCCCACACGCACCAAATCACCTCAGCACCCCCCCCCCAAGGCTCTCCCGGTCCCGTCAGTGCCCAGCAGGGCCCGGACCCTCCCCCCCGGCGCCTCCTCGTCCCGGTGCGGCCCTGCCCGCCCCCGTCCCCTCCGCTCCCCGGGGGCCGCTCACCAGAAGAGGCCGTGCGCCGCCACCCACCACAGGGCGCTGCGGCCCGGCCGCTCCCACACGAGCGCTGCCTGCAGGGCGCCCAGCAGCGGCTCGTATGGCCCCAGGCGGCCCCGCAGCACCGCGCTCAGCTCCTCCACCCGCCGCCGCCGCTCACCGGCCCCGCCGGGCCGCGCCGCCATGGCTCCCTCACGGCATCAACATCCGGCCGGCGCCAACATGGCGGCCGCCAGGGCGAAGGGGCCGGAGTCGCACTGGGCGCCGCCATCTTGGCGCAGGCGCGGTGGAGGCGGCCGGGCGGCGCGCATGCGCGTTGCCAGGGCGCCGCGAGAGGGGAGGGGGCGGTGGGGCGGAAGTGCGCGGCGCGCAGGCGCAGTGCCCGTGGCGGCGGGCGGCGGGCGGGAGAAGGAGGCGGCGGCGGCGGCGGGAAGGCGGGAGGGGAGCGCAGCGGCGGGCGCCATGCCGCGGGAGATCATCACGCTGCAGCTGGGCCAGTGCGGAAACCAGAGTGAGCGGCGGGGCGGCGGCGGGGCCGGGCCGGGGCGGGGAGGAGCGGGAGAGCGGGGCCCGGGCGGGGCTGGGCCGCTGTGAGGGAGGGGGCGGGGCTTAGAGAGGGGGCGGGGCTTCGTGAGGGGCGGGGGGCTCTGATTGGGGGCGTGGTGTGGGAAGGGGGCGTGGCCTGGTGGTGGACGGGGCTACAGGGTGATGTGGGCGGGGCCTGCTGGGGGTGGGGCTGCAGGGGTGGAGGCGGGGCCTGATGGAGGGGGCGTGGCTTTGGGGATGGGGGCGTGGCCTGCAGGGGGCGTGGCCACAGGGCCTGGGGGGTGAAGGGGGCGGGGCCTGAGGGTGGCTGGGGGCGGGGCTTGGGGAGGGGGCGGGGGCTGCAGGGGTCTCCCTACCCCCCCCACACACTGACCCCGTCCCCCTCCCGCTGCCCGCAGTCGGCTTCGAGTTCTGGAAGCAGCTCTGCGCCGAGCACGGCATCAGCCCCGAGGGCATCGTGGAGGAGTTCGCCACCGAGGGCACCGACCGCAAGGACGTCTTCTTCTACCAGGTACCCGCGGGGGGCACGGCACAGGGGGCTGCACCCATGGGTGCTGCAGGGCTGGGGGCTGCACCCGTGGGGGCTGGGGGCTGCCCCTTACCCCAAGGGACGCCCCGGCTGCTCCATCTCTCTCCTCAGCAGCCCCCCCATTGGGGTCAGCCTCGCAGCCTCGGCCCCCGTGCAAACCCCCGCAGCAGCCTGAGCCCCGCTCCTGCTGCCCACCCGCTGCCAGCCCTCCCGGCCCTGCTCCGGGTGCTGCAGGGGACGTGATGGGGAGGCAGCACCTAACTGCTGGAGGGGAGCCAGCCCTCGGCGCTCAGGGGACGCTGTGAGGCACGTGGAGAGGCTCCGTGCTGTACAGACGGACCGAGTTTCTCGCTCTCCTCTCCTCCGTCAGACGGGGGCTGTGCTGTGCTCTGCTGCGGCCAGGGGGTGGCACGCTCGGTCGCAGTTTCCCCGCAGTCAGAAGCTGCACTGAGCCGCGGCTGCGTCCTGATCTCGCTGCTCCTCGTTAAAGGCAGATGACGAGCACTACATCCCGCGAGCCGTGCTGCTGGACCTGGAGCCCCGGGTCATCCACTCCATCCTCAACTCCCCTTACGCCAACCTCTACAACCCAGAAAACATCTACCTGTCCGAGCATGGCGGCGGAGCTGGGAACAACTGGGCCAGTGGCTTCTCGCAGGTATCAGGCTCTGGTGCCCCCGTGTGCGAGCGCAGGTTGGGCATTGAGGCACGAGGCTTTACATCAGGCCAGCAGCTCCTGCAGAGCACCACGTCGCTCAGCAGGGACTTAGGACTGATCTGGGGCACCCTGGGTCCAGTCAGACTTGGCGGGGAAGAAACCCATCCCATTCCGGTCTCTTTTGCAGGGGGAAAAAATCCACGAAGATATCTTCGACATAATAGACAGAGAGGCTGATGGCAGCGACAGTTTGGAAGTAAGTAAATTGAGGACTTTGGCTGTGGTTGCCCTGCCTGGTGGTTTAAGAGCCAGGCTGATGTTTTATGAGGTCAGGCTCAGTCCTTGCTGAGGTGCTGAGCAGACAGTGAGGAGGGAGGGGAGCTGGGGCAGCGAGGTCTTTTCTGTCATGACTACATTTACCAGGCTTCCCCAGAAATCATTTTACCTCAGTGAGGCATTTTTCTGCCCCCAGTGCTGCTTCCACAGGATACAGCCTGAAGGAGGAGTTCTCCCTCTCATTATCATGCTTTTTCCTTTCCACCCCCGTCCCGTGGCTCCCCGGCAGCTCCGTGCTCTCTCTGGCTGGATCGAAGGGGCACCAGGGACACCAAGAGCTTGGAGACAGCTTTCAGGCCTCTTTGCTGCCTGCCTCTGGCAGGACCTTGGCTACCGTCGTGTAAACCCAGTTTCTGCGTGGGGACAGGCCCGGCTCGCTGGTGTTTGTGTCAGGCTGTCACATGGCAACAGAGAGAGGGAAAATGCGGCTTGAAAAACAAACTGGCAGCTCTCAGAGCAGGTTGTGGGACCTGCAGCAAGGGGAGGGGAGCTGCCCTGAAGTTAGGTAGAGGGAGTTTGGCTTCAGAGACCCTGGCCCAGGGAAAGGGCTGAGAAGGTCCACGTCCATTTTATACGAGCAGCTGGGTGCTGAAGGTGACGTCTGAGCTGTCCTGAAGTCTGGTTTGGGCTGGGAGGAATCCAGGAGGCTCCCGAGCAGCGGTTGGACCTCGTGGTGTGTGCAGAGAAGCAGATTCCTCCCCCCCTGGCAGAAGTGACACGAGGAGCGTGCGATCTGGAGGAGCCAGGGCTGAGCTCTGCCTGCCTTCAGCTCCCTCTCTGCAGCCCTGGCCACGCAGGGGAGGCTCTCACCCTCTGCCCTGCTCCGGGGGCTGACCCACGCCTCCTTCTGCTTCCTTGCAGGGCTTTGTGCTTTGCCACTCCATCGCCGGCGGGACGGGCTCGGGGCTGGGCTCCTACCTCCTGGAGAGGCTGAATGACAGGTGAGTGCTCGGCCCCAGCCCCTTCCCGCACCGCAGCAGAGCCTGGCCCATGCCCGGGCACCCTGCCAGAGCTGAGAGCTGGAGAGAGCTGACTCAGAGCCCCAGCCACCGCCCCCACCCAAACACTGTCTTGTGCAATCCCTGGCAAAGAGCCCGGGGAAGGGACGGCTCCTGATACGCCTGGGGACTACAGAGGCTCCGGAGCTGGGCTCGCGCTGTCCCAGCTCTGCCTTCCCTCGGCCCTTCTCAGCAGGCAGCTGCCTTCTGCCACCCTGCCTGCGCCGGGGAGGGGTGGGAGGCTGTAGCTGTGGGCTTTGAGCTGCCGTCCCCGCCTGTCGGAGCTTGCAGCCTCTTGCAAGGCTGGCAGGCAGCTGCTGGATCAGCCTGCGGATGGCTCAGCCTCGCCTGTAGCTCCGTCTGGCTGCCTGCTCCCCGTGCTGCTGGGGTAGGCACTGCTGGGACAAATTCCCTCCCTGGGAGCCGACTCTGGCACGCAGTGCTGGTGACTCACGGCTGTCCTGAGCCCTGGAGACTGCAAAGAGAGCTGGTGGGAGGGGAGCGTGCTGCCTTGGCCCTGTTAACCCTTCCGAGGGCTGGGTTTTCTCACCAGGTATCCCAAGAAGCTGGTGGAGACCTACTCGGTTTTCCCGAACCAGGACGAGATGAGCGACGTGGTGGTGCAGCCGTACAACTCCCTGCTGACCCTGAAGAGGCTGACTCAGAACGCTGACTGCGTGGTAAGGGGGGGTCCCCAGCACCTCCAACCGGGCAGATTTGGTGGTTCAGGGCACGAGGATTCTGCTCTGACCCCTGCCGAGCTGTCCTGCCCTGCCCCTGGGATCCAGCAGGTTTTCCCCAGGCTGGCTGTGCTTCCCCTGCAGCCTGCCACTCGAGCTCCATTCCAGCGTTGCTTCCAGCACCCACAGCCCCCAACCACAGCAGCACCTTCAGCCCTCACCCCCCCCTCAGCTCCTCACCTCGTCCCTCCCAGCTCATCCCCGCCGGGAGCAGGGCAGGGGAGGCTCCGGCGGAGCTGCCGAGGCTGAAGCTGCCGTGAGGTGCTGGCCCAGGGGCTGTGCTCTTCGGGAGAGCGCTGGGGAGCGTGGCCAAGGCGCAGGGAAGAGCTCCCATTGACAGTGTCAGTTACGCTCCACGAATGAGTCAGCTCCGTGGTTTCCAGTGGCTGCCACCTGCTGCGGGAGGGCTCGGCCGGGCTGCGGCGCTCAGGGCCCACGCTGGGCCAGGCTGCGGGATCCGGTGCCCTCAGACACGTGGCCGGGGCTGCCTTTTCCTCTGGGTGCCTCCCTTAAGCTTCACAGGAGCTTTTTTTTTTTTCTTTTTCTTTTTTTTTTTTTTTTTGTCCCCTCCTGCAGGTGGTTCTAGACAACACAGCCCTGAATCGCATCGCCACAGACCGGCTGCACATTCAGAATCCCTCCTTCTCTCAGATCAACCAGCTGGTGAGCTCTTCTCTTCCCTCCCGAGGAGCTGGCACGGGGCTTTCCCGGTGATTTTAATTTGGTTTGAGCTCCCCGGGCTCAGCTTGGGCAGCCTGGAGCCGGGAATGAGAGCCCCCTGCCCTTCCTTGGGGGCAGATTCCTGGGGCACCCCGACCTCCCTCGGCCCCGCTGCGTGAAGCGGGCTTGGAACACTGCTCTGTGGCCACGCAGGTGACCTGCTCCTCTCCCCCCCAAAAAGGTTTCCACCATCATGTCTGCCAGCACCACCACGCTCAGGTATCCTGGCTACATGAACAACGACCTCATCGGGCTGATCGCCTCGCTCATCCCCACCCCGCGCCTGCACTTCCTCATGACGGGCTACACGCCGCTCACTACGGACCAGTCGGTAAGGCAGCCCGGTCCCTAAAGCAGCCCGCCGGGGGGCTCCTCCCGTTCCCCGAGGGCAGCAGGAGCTGCCACGCTCGCCTGCTGCCATCCCTCAGCCCCGGAGCCGTGGTGGGAGCTGTAAATGCTCGGTCCTACGCCGCGTGCAGCCACCTCGCCTCGCCTGACAGCCCGAGCGTGACGCCACTCGCATCTGTGCGTGTGCTGGGCTGCCTCCTGCACGCCTCAGGTCGGCGGTGGCAGCTTTGGGAGAGCCGACAATGTTTGATTTGGCAAAAGGCAAGCCTTAGAAACGATCAGAGCAAGCTCTGCCTGCCAGGCCTGTCGCCGCAGTGAGCCGCCAGCTCAGGCCACCGCTGGTCGGTGTCACGCCGAGGCTGAGCGTGGTCTCCAGGTGTCAGCCCCTACCCCGAAGGGATGGTTGCCCCTCAGCTGCATCAAATGCTGCCTCTCACCTTCAGCTGGTCCCCAGCCCGTGCCCCCTGGCTGCAGGGGAGGCCGGGGCTGTTTTGTTTTGAGACACTCACCTGCGTTGGCCGCGTCTCAGTTCTGCTCGGGGCTAACAGCTGCTGTTCTCCTCTCGTTGTGTGCATTTCCTCAGGATGTTACTCAGAGGAGCAAATCTGAAAAACTGCTGGCTCTGAAAAGGGTATCGAGCGTGTGATCTGTCCTCCCAGAGAGGAGGAGTGTGGGGAGGGGTTCAGCCAGCAGCTCGGAGGGGACCTGGGCTGCCACACCACCAAGCTGTCCTCGCCGCGGGCACGCACCTTTGGGTGCTGGCACCCAGCGTGAGCACCCGGGGACTGCTGCAGCCCCCCACAGGCTCACTGCAGAGCGATGGGGTGTGGGCTGCAGTGGGGAACGACCCCATCCTCTCCTCCAGCCCTGCTCCTTCCTCGTGGCAGCAGGGCAGGACGGGTTGATGGCAGCAACACAAAACGTGGCCCCGGCGCTCTGAGCTCTGAGCTTCACCCCTCGGCCCCTGCTGTGCTGCTGGAGGAGCTCAGCTCCCTCGGTGGAGCCTTGGCTGCTGCTCCAGCTCTCAGCCTGGCCGTGCCTGCGGTGTGACGTTGGGGTTTGCCCATCCTGCATGCAGCTTTTTGCACGTGGCTCCATCCCCTGGGCTGAGGGCTTCTCCCCTCCAGCTGCCCCCTGCTCCTGCGTGCGTGTGCGGGGCAGCGGGAGGGTGAGGGAGCAGCCCACCCGCTGCCTCTGACCCCGACTGCCCTTTGCAGGTGGCCAGCGTGAGGAAAACCACGGTTCTGGATGTGATGAGAAGGTTGCTGCAGCCCAAAAACGTGATGGTGTCCACGGGGCGAGACAGGCAGACCAACCACTGCTACATCGCCATCCTCAACATCATCCAGGGGGAGGTGGATCCCACGCAGGTGAGGTCCCGCGGGGATAAACCATCGGGGATAAACCATCGCAGCAGTTCCTGGCACTCATGGGAGTGCTGTCCTGGGGCTGCTTTGCCCAGCGCTTTTCTCCCCCTTTTCTGCTCTCGTCCCACCAGGTTCACAAGAGCCTGCAGCGGATCCGGGAGCGAAAGCTGGCCAACTTCATCCCCTGGGGGCCCGCCAGCATCCAGGTGGCTTTGTCCCGCAAGTCCCCCTACCTGCCCTCCGCACACCGCGTCAGCGGGCTGATGATGGCAAACCACACCAACATCTCCTCGGTGAGTTCCCCCTGCACCACGGGCAGCAGCAGCCCCCCAGCACTGAGCTTCTCCCCTTCCAGGCACATCCATTCCTCCTCTGCGTCTTTTCCAAAACCCCAGCGGGGCCTGCAGGTGCGGGGTGGGGGCCAGTTCCCTCCTGCAGCACCGTGGGGTTCAGCTCGAGCCTGGGCTCCCACCCTTCCTTGTAGGTCCCCGTCCCTGGTGCTGCTCTCCCAGGAGCTCGATTCCTTTCTTCCTGGGCTAAAGCAGCCCCAGAAGCACGAGCTGGTGGCGAAGCATTGGCCGGGGGCAGGAGCTGGTGCTGCTCACCCTCCTCCCTCCCGAGCAGCAGCCGGGGGAGGCTGAGGGCCCCGTCCTGGTGTCTCTGCGCGCGGGCTCCCCGGGGACCCGCGGCCCTCCTGACCGCCTCGCTGCTGCCGTTCTCCAGCTGTTTGAGCGGACGTGCCGGCAGTACGACAAGCTGCGCAAGCGGGAGGCCTTCCTGGAGCAGTTCCGCAAGGAGGACATCTTCAAGGACAACTTCGACGAGCTGGACAACTCCCGGGAGATCGTGCAGCAGCTGATCGACGAGTACCACTGCGGCCACGCGCCCCGACTACATCTCCTGGGGCACGCAGGAGCAGTGAGGGCCCTGTGCGTGTGGGGGGAACGGGAGGGTCCCACGGCCTCCCCCACGCGTGCCAGCGGGGCTCGGCTCTGCTGTGCCCACCTTTAGCACCCCTCCAAGCTGCCCGGCCGCAGCTGGCATCGCCACGGTGGCTGCACACACACACGCAGGAGCGGCTCAGCACGGAGCTGCACTGCCCCTAAGACCCTTGGCAGGGGACAGCCTCTGCTCCACGGGCCCAGGACGGGACTGGGGCAGCTGCTGGTAGGGAAAGCTCTTCCCCTGGGAGCACGCGCTCGCACGGAGGAGGGCGAGAGCGAAATCGGGGGGCCGGGAGCAGGCTTGGCCCAAAGATTTGGGTCCTGGGGCCGAGGGCTCTGTGTGGCTGAGCCAGTCCTTGCCCTGGGCACGGGCCTTGTTCCTCCTTCGCCAGATCAGGCCTGGGGCACAGGCTGTATCTATATTTTTGTAGGTTATTTTGCTTTAATAAAGGCTGTTCCTGCACTGACCCCACCTGCAGCGAGCAGCTCCCAAGTGGCTCACAGACACAGCCCCCAGAAACCAGCGCTCACCTCACCTCACCGGCCGGCCTCGGCACCCGAGGGGCTCCTGCTGCTCACCCGCACGGCGCAGGGTGGCCGGGCAGGGCCGGGGAACCGGGTGGCAGCTGCAGCAGAGCCAGAAATACTGGAAGGACCTGCGGCACGGCTGACCGGGCGCCGGCACCGCCCTGCCTTCGCCTCCCGTCCCGCACGCGGGTGCCCGCGTTAATGTTTCACAGGGGCGAGGCCACGTGCAGGACGGGGGGCGCACAAAAAAAAAAGGCTCCCCAAAGCGAGGGGATGGCACCTTGGGGTGGCATCGGGCAAGGGACTGTGTCCTGACCGCCCCGGGTGCGGGGCAGCGCTGGCCCCAGCCCAAACCCCGTCGGCCCAAGGTGAGAATTAGCCTTTTCCTCTGACCGTGTGGCACGGAGCAGCGGGCTAAAAATACTCGCCGGCCCTCGCAGTGCCGATGCTCCCACGCCCTCTTTGGCACCGGCCCCACCGAGGCGCCCGCTGCGGGGACGGTTCCCCCCCAGCCGGGGCAGCCAGTGCCAGCGGGTGCCGGGGGGAGCTGGAAGCGGAGCCGCAGCGCTGGCTGTGCTGTTGACGAAATGCCAAAGGGCAGAGCGAGGAGCCCGGCTCCCGGCGTTGGCCGCAGGGACGGCGGCTCCCTGCCCCCCAAGGACACGCTGTGCCGAACCCTCCCCGCGGAACGGGGGCCGCCCGGGATGGGGCCCCGCTGTCCCCACGGGGACGGGATCCCATCCACGCCTGCTGGGTTGGGGACGCAGGAAGGCTCCGCTTTGCTTTTGTGCATTTATTTAAAAAACAAAAAAATGACAACAACAACAAAAAATGAACAACAACAACAAAAAAGAACAAAAAAAAACAACCCAAAAGACTGGAACCGACAAACTTTACAGAGGCAATGCCACGGGGCTGAGCCCCAGCCGTACCTGCCCAGCCCACCCTGCCGCCCCCCGGGCCGGCCACCCCTGCACCCCGAGCCCCACCGCGGGGCCACCCGGCAGGAGCGCACCGGGCCCCGAGGCGGCTCGGCCAAAAGCCGCCCGCAGCTTTCCAGGAAGGGTGGGTTCAGCGGACGGACAGACGGACGGACGGACGGCAGCGCTGCTGCCCAGCACCTCCTCGCCCGGGGCAAAAGCACCGGGATGGAAGGAGCCAGGGCAGAGGCAGAGCCGCCAAGGGCAGCACAAGTGCTGGAGGCGAAGGCACCAGGGGGACAGGGGAAGGGGACGGGCCTGGGGGGGCAGCAGCGTTGGGGGGGGACCGGCCGGGGGAAGCAGGAGCGCAGCCAGCACCGGGCACCCGCGACACAGCCGTCCCGCTGCCCCCTCCAGGGAAAGTGCTGGGAGACGTGGGCGAGCGGGCGTCTCGAAATAAATTAAGGAAATAACCAGAAAGGCAACGGTGGAGCGGGGAGAGCGCGGGGCACCGGGGGTCGGCGCAGACCCCACCGCTCGCCTTCCCCGCGCCATCCACCCGGAGCATCCTCCGTGGCCGCCGGGCTAGCTGCCGAAGGAGCCGGTGGGCGGTGGGCGCTGCCAGGGCCCGGCCACGGGGCAGAGCCCCCGGGGCAGCGCGGAGGGGTCCGGATCGAGGGGGGGGCCGGGGGCTGGCTCCTGGGGTGGCCGGCGGGCAGCCGTGGAGGCGAGGTACGTGGTGAGGAGCTGGGCGATCTCATCCACCTGCGGGGCGGAGGGGAGACGGGTGGTCAGAGGGGGCTGCGCCCTACGGTGTCACCCCGAGGGGGACAACGGATGGACGGACAGACAGACGGCAGCACGGAGGGACAGACGGAGGGATGCCCCTTACCTGAGAGGTCTCAAAGAGCAGGTCCCGGTCTTCCACGGAGAGGCGGAACGTGCTGCTGTCGGAGGCCCCGAAGGAGGAGATGCGACCGTAGCAGAAGCTGTCCAAGGGCTCGGGCTCCCCCGGTTTGTACAGCGACACGGCCTTGGCCCCGATGCCCAGCCACAGCCGCTGGGGGCCGGCTCCCACCGGGCTCTGTGTGGAGAGGGGCGTCAGGGCCACCCCCTCCCGCCCGCTCCCCGTCCCCTTGCCGCCGCGCCGGGGCCTCACCGCGCGCAGGTCCACGTCGAAGAGCGTGGAGCCGAATCCCGGCCATTCCCGCACCAGCGCCACGTAGGCGGCCATGGCTTCGGGCCGCCCCATGCCCTGCAGCAGCTTCCACTTCTCCACGATGGCAGCCATGGTGCTGGCCCCCTCCTCCCGCAGGCGACCCCGCAGGCGCTGATCCCTCTCGGCGCGCTGCTTGGCCAGCGAGTGCCCCCACAGCCCCCCGGCCAGCAGCCCCGCGCGCAGCCGGGCCCCGCGGCATTTGGGGGGCGGGGGGTCAGGGGCGGGGGGCCGGCAGGCGGGCGTGCAGGACGTGGGGTGGGAAAAGCTCCTCCAGGCGCGGGAAGGGGGCGTGGGTGGAGAAGTCGCTGTTGAGGCTCTGCAGGCGCAGCGCCGCCAGCGTCTGCAGCGTCTCCTCCGATGTGGGCACGTAGCCCCGCAGCACCATCTCGTGAGCCTGGGGGAGGGCAGGGTGAGACGGGTGCCTGGGCACGGCACGGCACCAGGGCACGGCCACCCGTGGCATGGCAAAGGACAGCCACTACGGCACGGCCACCCATGGCACCGTGGCACAGGACGGCCACCCGTGGCACCATGGCACGGGACAGCCACCCATGGCACCATGGCACAGCACGGCCACCCATGGCACCGTGGCACGGGACAGCCACCTGTAGCACCGTGGCACAGCACGGCCACCCCGTGGCACCGTGGCACGGCTCTCACCTGCTCAAAGAGGAGGGCAAACTCCAGGCTGTCCCGCGGGACGTTGTCCGTGTCCAAGAAGCCGTAGTGCTTGAAGCAGAGCCGGCACGGCGCGTCCTGCTCCCGCTCCTCCCCGGCCAGGCTGCGCCAAGAGAGCAGCGCCGTCAGCGCCGGGCAATGCAGGCAGGCAGGCGCAGCCCCCCAGCAGCATCCCCTCGTCCCCGGGACCCGCTTGCCCCCCTTCCTTCTCCCTCCCCGTAGGCAGCAGAGCAGGACATTTACTTTTCAAACCTGGTGAGGACGTCGGCCAGCAGCGTGGAGCTGCCCACGGGCTGCTCCCGGAGCCGGGACTGCTCGTAGAGCGCAAAGAGGTTGGGGCTCTGGGACAGCCCCAGGCGCGACACCAGCTCCCGGGCCACCTGGGGCGAGACAAAGGCAACCAACGGTGACTGCGCGTCCCTGGCCGCGGCGCTCAGGGCTGCAAAGGGACACAGACAGGTCACGGCGGGCAGAGGCAGGCGTCCCCGCGTCCCCCAAATTGCCTCCCCGCCCCCGTCCCCTCTGCCCGATGCTCCCCAGCCCCGCACACGGCACGGGTTCGGCCCTCACCTCCTCGGCCGTGGTGTGGGAGCTGATGGCCACGCTGCAGGCGGCGGCGCCGGGGCAGTGCACGGTGCAGACCATCTCCTGCCGCCGCATCAGCACCAGGATCTCCTCCAGGGACGGCACGCACTCCCTGCCCCTCGTCTTGCCCAGCGCCTCCCGGATGAAGCAGGCGTATTTGGCCATCTCCGAGGCAGGGAAGCGGCTCTCCGTCCTGCGGGGGGGGGGGACACCAGGGTAAGAGGAAAAGGGGGGTCACAGCAGTGCCGGGGACCCCGCGCCAATCCCGGTGGGAACCCGGCGAGCTCCGTGGCACTCGCCTGTCCAGGTGGAAGCGCAGGAAGCGCAGGACAGGCGGGGAGGGCAGGAACGTGCAGCTCATGCAGGTGAGCAGCTGCCAGTAGTGCAAGTCGCCCGGCCCGCCCGGCGCCGGCGGCTCCGTGGTCTGCTTCACCAGCTGGCAGTAAATCTCGTCCACCAGCGGCGGCAGGTCCAGGCAGGTCTGCAGGATGCCCTGGATCAGCGGCACCGGGTCCCGCTGCGATTCCAGCTGCTGCAGCGAGTTGAAGAGCTTCACGGCCTCGTCGCGCAGCGTGGTGTAGCTGCGGGGACCGGGGGCTGCAGGATGGGACAGGACAGAACGGGGAGGGGGTGTTAACAGCCACGATTTTGGGCTCTCCAAATCGCCCCCAGCAACCGGGCACCGTGCCCATGACGTGGAGCGGTTCAGACCCAGCCCAACTCCTGCCACTCCTGCTCAGCACCCGGCCCTCCCCGCTGCACTGGCACGGTTTGGCACCCCAGGGTCCCCTGCACCAGCACGGTTTGGCACCCCAGGGTCCCCCTCCCACCCACCCGCTCACCGCTTTGGTCCAGGCTGCCGTAGGGGAAGGGCAGCAGGGGGGCGTAGAGCGGGCTGCTGGTGTAGCGCAGGATGGGGTTGCAGCGGTAAATCTGCTCCAGGACCTCGGGGCTGCCGCAGTGCTCCTGCAAAGCGACAGCAGCGGCTGCAGAGGGGCCGCCCGGCCGAGTTCCTGCAGTGTCCCCCCCGTGTCCCCCACCCCGGTGCCGCGGACCCACCTTGACGTCGCGCATGAGCAGCTGGGTGGGCGTCTGCACGGGCGCCTTGCTGTCGATGACCTTCTGCACCGCGCACACCCAGCGCACGGCCTCGTTGAGGTGCTCGCTGTACAGGCGGTAGCAATGCTTCCTGCCAAACACCGTCACGCTCCAGTAGCCTGGGGGGGGTGGACACACAGCTCACCCAACGCCCCCTCCCCGGGTGCCAAGGGGTGACACGGGGCGCGCTAGGGTTTGCCAAGGGGACGCCCACCCGTTGGGCACCCTACCCGTCTCCTTGTAGGTCTGCTTGTCCGGCCAGAGCACGGAGCAGAGGCTGGTGAGCACGAGGGAGCCCAGGCGCTTGGCTCCCTTCTCGTTGCTGCTGTAGTAGTCCAGGGAGTCGGGGGTCAGCACGAACCAGTACTTCCGAGGCCGGATCCAGGGGGTCTTGACGCCTCCCCGCACCTCCCGCTGCAGCCAGCCTGGGAAGGAGAAGCCTCAGCCCCTGCCACCAGCCCCATCCACCCCGCTGGATGCCCGTGTCCCCTGCCTTGTGCCACCCTAGGGTGGCATCCAGCCCGTCGGGGCACAATCCTGCCAACCCCAGCTGTGAACCCGGGGATTGGGCAGAAAAAAACCACCCTGTAGCGCTGCGCCTACCTTTCACCAGAGCATCGGGGTCCTCCTCCACTGGCCCCGGCCCCTTCTCCACGATGAGACTGCGCATCTCCTCCGACACGAGCAGGGACCTGGGGACATCGCAGGGCTGAGCCCGGGTGCCCGCAGGAGCCCGCCAAGCCCCCAGAAGTGGGGGCCGACGGTGCCGCAGCAGCGGGGAGCAACGTCCCCGGGGGGCACCGGACACCCCGCAACCCCGCGGTGGGAACGCGGCACAGCCATCGGGTGCAGATGACCCCGGCTAAAAATAAGCTGTTTGCAGTCGCGGCCCTGCCAAGGAATTCGGAAAATGAACAACCAGGAAGGAATGCTGGCAGCGGTGTCGGCACTGGGAGGACGGGGAGCGAGCAGGCCCCTGTGCCCCCAGCACCCCATCTCCCTGGGCACGTGGCGTCCCGGGACACGGTCCCCACGGCCGGACACGGTCCCCACGGACACATCCCGGGGTCGGGGACCACGCACGGCCCCACTGGCAAACCCTGCCGCAGCCAAACCACCCGACACGGCGAGGCTGAGGCAAAGGGATGGGGATGAGCCCGAGGGTGCAGCAGATACGGGGACGGAGCCCGGCAGTCCCAGCACCACCAGCCCCTGTTCTTGCCAAGTGCCCGGCCAGGCGAGGGGGGCAGGATGGTGCACGGCTCCTGCAGCACCGTGAGGGGGACGCGACGGGATGGCCGGCACCACGGGGTCACTCACCGCTCCGAGCCGCTGCTGGTGCGGGTGGGCTGGCTCAGGCTCACCTCCAGGGACGCCTGGGGAGGAAGGAGACACGTCTCAGCCCCACAGCCACCGCCTGGCACTCCCCGAAACCACCTCCCCCTGATCACCGCTCGGCTCCAGACCCCGAGGGACGGGCTCGCGTCCTGGGGAGCACCTGGGGCTGCAGCTGGGGCACCCCTCGGGGCAGCCGCCGGGCGCGCTGGCCGCGTATCCTCAGCTGACCCCGGCAGGCTGAATACCGTGCAGAATTGCACAAGGTCAGTGCTGAGTAATACGCTTACGGCACAAAGTCCCATTGTAATGGGGCCGCTGACTTCCTGCCCGCGGCGGTGGGACGCTGCGCAGGGAAGTCCCTGGCCCTGCAGCGGGGACGGGGGCCGGTTCCTCCTCGCGCGGCACGGCCTGACGTTGGCGGTGCCACACACGTGACGAGCCTGGCACACGTGCCGGGACATGAGGCAGAGCCCAGGCACGGGCAGGCACCGGGCAGGGCAGGGCAAGGCGGCAGCGCCGGGGCGCAGGGATGCGGTGGCACGGGCAGGATGCGACCCCAGGAGAGGCACGGGCTCCCCGCCAGCTGCAGCTCCACGGGGGCAGCCGCAGCCAGGTCAGGGCGCTCCAAAAACGCCGAGAAAAAGAGACGGCTGCTAAAAATAGCAGCAGGGAGAGGGGGAGCAGGAGCCGCTCCAGGTATCGCCGCGCCGGGGCAGGAGCAGGCTCCGCTGACCCGTGGCATTAAGGGCACCTGTCATGCAACGCCGGCGCCTCGTGCACGGGGCCAGCTCCTGCCGGGGCTGTCCTACCACCGGGGTCACAGCCAGGGAGAGCTCCCCACGCTCCTGCCCGGCTGCGAGGCATGGAGACGGTGCCCGGCTCCTCTCGGCCGTGGCCCGCAGGAGGAGACGGCGGTGGCCGGCTCCTTCTCAGGGTTATAAATAAACAGGAGAGGAGAGAAGCCGCCACGGCAGGGCCAGGGCAGCTGCTCCCACGCTCCCGGGAAGGGGCGGCTGGCGCCGAGGGTTTCCGAGGACCCCGCGGCCGTGGGGCGGGCAAAGGGCTCCCCGGGGAACCAGCGTCACGGCCGCCCACGCCAGCCTGGACCTCCGGAGCCAGCGCAGCCTGTGGGACACGGGAAAGCCCAAAACGGCTTCTGCTGCTGGCCCGTGCCCTTGGCACCACACCACTGGCACCCGGTGGGCCCAGCTCCAGCCCCTGGCACTGCTGGGGAAGGGGATCCCAGCACAGCCAGGCCCTGCTGCAAGGGGGGAGCTTGGAGTTGGGGGGCTCAGATCTGTCCCCAGCCTGGCTGTAGGGGAACCAGGCTGCAAACCAACGGTGCTGCGGGGCAGGAGAGGGGCTGCAGCGAGCTTAGCTCTCAGCAAGCCCCGCGTCCCCTAAGGGCAGGGATTCAGCCCCGTGGCTCCCCGGCCGCCCCCGCGCTATCAGCCGTCCCCAAGGCAGCCCGGCAGGAGGGAAGCGCCGGCTTCCGCCGCGCTGCTCCGCTTCCCCGAGCAGAGGAAGCAGCCGGAGCGGGGAGATCCAGGCCCTGCTCCCCGGCGCGGAGCGTGCCGGGAACGGCCCCGGCAGCGCTGCCTGGACCGGCAGGTCTGCGCAGAGCAACGCCGAGGAACCCATCCCACAGGGACCCCCAAACCAACCCGACCCTCGGAGGTGGCACCGGGATGATCCCAAGCCTGGATCTGGTCCTGTTTCTCCTGCTTGAGGAGCAGGCGCAGGCAGCTCCGCTCCCCAGCCGGGCACCCAGGCTGGCAGCGCCCCGGCTTTGGCTGCGCCCCGAAGCCCTGCGGGTGCCCAGGCTCCCACCGGGCTGGCGGGGCACCAGGAGCGGCCCCGGCAGCAGCCCCACGGCTGGGAGCCAGCAGCCGCCGCCACGGCCCACGCAGCACCGAGAGAGGGACCCGGGGGCACCAGCACCGCTTGGGCTGAGCAGCCAGGAGCCAGCCCCGCTTGGCAACAGGGGCTGGGGGGACCGGGGGTTCTGGGAGCCCCCAGTGCCCCCCCATTGACCAGACACAGCCTGAGCTAACGGGAACACGGAGCCAGGCCCCAAAGGGATAGAAAAGCAGCCAGGCTGCCTGCTCCCAAGGAGGGCAGGGGGACCCCTGCGCCAGGGGACCCCGTCCCCTCTGCCACCCTGCAGACGCAGCCCCACGGACACCAGCCAGGCACCCTCGTCCCTGTGCCCCCCCCCGACTGTGCCCCAGGCCCTGTTCATAGGGGGGCAACACCCCCAGCCAGCCTCCCCCCAGTGCCCCAGCTCAGCCAGGGGCATGCACACGGGGGGCTCAGGACGAGCCCAGGGGGTCCGCAGCCCCCCGGGCTGTGCCAGGATCAGCCCCAGCCCCTGGGCAGCCCCCCCGGTCACACCAGCGGAGCAGCAGGAGCCCGGCCCCCCGAGCACCGCAGAGCCCCCCCCGCAGCGACCTGCGGTGGTACCGGGATCCCGCACGCCCCCCGCGGCCGGGACACCCCCCACCGGCTGCCCGGGAGCCCCGCCGAGCCGCGGTGGCTCCGGTCCCGGTGCCCGGGGAGCGGCCGGTGCGGGGACGCGCCAAGGGCACCCCTGCCCGCGGGCCCCGGCGCGCCCCGACCGCGGTAGGGACGTGCCCGGGCAAGCGGCGGCGGAGACCGGAGCCGGCCGGTCGCTACCGGGAAGGGCCGGATCCGCTCCCGGTGCCCCGACCTCCGGGCCGAGCTCTCCGAAGCCTCCCGGGACCGGGCAAACCCGTGCGCACCGCGGTGCCGGCCCCGCACGGCGCGCACCGGGACGGGCTCCGAGCCCCGTGCGAGCCACGCTCGGGGCCCGCAGGCAGCGGCCGGTGCACCGGGAGCGGGGCCGGTGCAGCGCAGCCCAGCACGGTACCGGACAGCCGCGGGCCGAGCCGAGCCGAGCCGAGCCCAACCGAGCCGTGCGCCCCGGACGGGACGAGGGGCGCACGGTGGCACCCACCGCGCCGTGCCCAGCCGCGGCTCCGGTGCCGGTGCCGGTAGCACCCACCTGGTCTCCCTGCGCTCGGAGCTCGAAGGACGCCTCCTCCTCGGCCTCGCCGTCCGCCTCCCGGTCCGCGTCGCCGTAGTCCCGCCGCAGCAGCGTGAAGCCCTGCCGGCAGCACAGCAGCCACCAGAGCCCGCCGGGGAACGGCATCGCCCCGCCGGGCCCGGCCCCGCCGCCCGCGCTGCGCCGAGCACCGGCCGCCGCCGCCGCCACCGGGACCGGCCCCGCCGCCGCCGCCGCCGCCCCGGGCGGGCCGGCCCCGGCGCGTCACCGGCCCCCGCCAATCGCCGCGCACGGCCCGGGGCGGAGCCAGCGCGCCCGGGGCGGCGGGGCCGCCGTTTGCGTCATCCACCGGGCGGGGGCGCGCGGCCGAACGGGGCTGGGGGGGCAGCACCGGGCACCCCCCACCCCCGGGTGCCCACCCGTCTCCAGCGGGGAACCGGGCACGTCGGGGATTCGGGGGGATCCGGCCGCCCCGGTGCGCCCGGTGTGGGCAGCGGCACCTCGGTACCGGGCACCGGGTGCTTGGTGGCCGGGCTGGGAGGTGCCGGGCTGGTGGCACCCGGTGCCGTGCACCGGGGCTGTCACCGGTGGTGGCACCGAGGTGCTGCATGGCACCGAGGGCACGCGCTGCCCCTGTCCCGGTGAGGCCTGGCACCGCCGGTGTCGTGTGCCGGGGCTGGGAACGGGGTCCACGGGGCGCACGGTGCCGCCACCCGCAGCAGCGTGGCCTTGGCCACCCCTCGGTGCCACGGTCAGGCAGGGCAGGGCGATCCTGCCAGCCTTGGCCACCTCTATCCACGGAAGGAACCGGTGCCTGGGTCACACCTCGAACCCTGTGACATCGCCCAGCCCCGCTCCCACAGCCCCCGAAGGGGTTAAGCCCCCCAGCCCCGTTTCCCCGGAGCCGCTGGGACCGGGGATGCGCAGGCAGGAGCCCAGGAGCCGCCGGCTGCCAGCTCGACGCCCACGCAGCACCGCCAGCCCCACGGGGCCACGCAGGGAGGGAGGGAGCTGAGCCCGCCGGGGGGCCGCAGGGGACACGGGGCCAGCGTGGGCGATGTGGCACGGCCGTGGGGCCAGCAGAGGTGGGATTGGGGTAGCCCGAGGGTGACGGTTGGGTAGGGAGATGGGGAGCTGCGTGCAGGGCCAGGTGCTCCCCATCTGGCACCGGGTTGGCGAGGAGGGGGGGGGGAGGCTGGGGGGTGGCGGGGGGATGGGGGCTGTGCGGTGCTGAGTCAGCGGTAATTGCATTTCCTGCCCAGAAGTAGGCGAAGGGTCTGGGCTGGATTCTCCCAGCGAGAGCACCGGGCTAATCCCAAAGCGGGAGCCGTGTGTGGGTGAGCGGGAAGAGGCCTCCAGCCCGCAGCATGGGGAGGCACTTCCCCGCTCTCAGAAACCCCAGAAGAAACTCAGAAACTCGGCCAGAGCCAGAGGCAACCCCCTCCTGCTGCCCCCTGTGCTGCTCTGCACCACGGCACCGCTCAGCCTGGCCCCTAGGATAGAGGACGAGGGCACCCCCGTTGTGCCCACCCCTGGAGACACCAACCCCAGCCCTGCTGGGATGGGATTTGCTGCGCCAGAACTCAAGGGGAAGTGAGAGGAGACAAAAGGAGAGGAAAGCCCCTCTCGCCCCTCAGGCTGGGGGGGGGTTTCCAGCCTGACCCAGAGTAGGTTTTTCCCGGGGGATCACGCTGCTGCCGGCCCCAGGGGGATTCCCAACCCCTGCAGCCCACGGGGTGGACTCCGCCGCCACCTCGGCTGTGCTGGTGGGGACGGGGGCCGTGACACCCCCAGCTCCTGCCTCTTCCTAGGCCGTAGCCCCCTGCCCTGCACAAAGCAGAGCCCCCTCTCCCCACTGCGGGGCTGCAGCCAGGCACCCTCCTGCTGCTGGAGCCCAGCTGGGGGGGTCCCCACCCTGCATTTGGGGGTCCCCATCCTGCGTCTGGGGGTCCCCGCCCTGCATTTGGGGGTCCCCGCCCTGCATCTGGGGGTCCCCATCCTGCGTTTGGGGGTCCCGGCTGGGGCAGACGCGTTCAGGCCCTGCAGTGCTGGGCACCCGGGTGGGGACAGGCAGGGCCAGGCAGGGCCGGGCAGGACGCGCTGGGTTCTGCTGCCGCCTGCAGGCATCCCCCGGCCAGTGCCGGGTCCCTTCCCCGCTCCCCTCCACCTCCCAGGTCCCCTGAGCCCGCAGGGACACGGCCACTCTCGCAGCGGGGTTGGAGCAGGGTTTATTGCCAGGGTGGGAAGGAAAGTGCAAGCCAGCGCCCTGCCCAGCGCCCTGCTGCGTCTGGATCCGCACGCAGCGCTCCGAGCTCAGGGGCATCCCGCAGCCCCCTCCCAGAGCCCGCGAGGCCACTGCACTGGTCCCGCCGGGGCACACACGGCACCGCACGGTCCCCCTGGGATGTGCTCATCCCCCCAGAGCCGTGTGTGACACTGCACGGTCCTTCCAGAAGGCAGCTGGCGTTGCACGGGCCCCCCGAGCTCGGGGCATCGTCCCCATCCCATTGTTGGGCAGGACGCCGTGGGGCTCCTCGTCCGTCTGCCCACGAGTGCGCTCTGTCCATCCTGCCCCTGCCAGGGTGGTTCAAACCACTTAGGGTGGCTCAAACTCCCCCAAAACGGGGGTGTTGAGCCCCAAGGGTGCCGGTACCCGCCCCGGGGCACGGGCACCGCGTCCCTACGCCACGTCCTGGCAGGTGGAGAGCGACGAACGCCGGCGGGGACTGGGGCAGCCGGGGCAGCGCGGGTCGATGGGTCCCACGCAGCCGGCATCGCTGGCCAGCAGCCACAGCTCCCGGCGGAAACGCTGCCCCAGGAAGGCGTAGAGCAGGGGGTTGAGGCAGCAGCGCAGGTACGCCAGCCCGCCGGTGATCAGCAGCGCCAGGTCCTTGCGGCGGCTCTGGGCGCAGCTCACCTCCCAGCTGGCCAGCAGCTCGGCCGTATCCAGCAGCACCATCAGGCTGTGGGGCAGCTGCAGGGCCACGAAAACCAGCACGAGGGCCAGCAGCACCCGCAGAGCCCGGTGGGGTTGGGTGCCCCGAGCCGCCAGCAGCGTCCGAGCCACGGCCGCGTAGCAGCTCGCCATCACCAGGAAGGGCACCGCGAAGCCCAGCACGACCTGCGCCAGGTTGGTGGCCCCCCGGGCCGCCCGCGAGACCGCCGGGGGGAAGACGACGCGGCAAATCCGGAGGTCCTGGTGCTGCTCCGCTCGGCCGTAGATGAACTGGGGCAGCGCCAGCAGCGTGGCCAGCAGCCAGGCCAGCCCCGCCGTCAGCCAGCCGTGGCGGCGAGCCCGCGGGCGCAGGCGGCAAGCGGCCGGCACCCGCACGATGGCCACGTAGCGATCCACGCTGATGCAGGTGAGGAAGAGGAAGCCTCCGTAGAAGTTGAGGGCGTAAATGCCCTGCAGCGCCCTGCAGGCGGCTGTGCCCGGGGCCCAGCCCTGCAGCGTGACGGTGACGGCGAAGGGCAGCGTGAGGAGCAGCAGGAGGTCGGAGAGGGCGAGGTGCAGGAGGCAGACGTCGGTGACGCTGTGCGCCCGGCGGTAGCGGGTGTGCGTGAGCAGCACCAGCCCGTTGCCCACCGTGCCCAGGAGCAGGAGCAGCAGGTAGACGGCCGGCTGGTAGGTGCGGGCGAAGCCCTGCACCTCCTGCTTCTCGCACAGCTCGGGCAGCATGCCGTCATCCCACGTGGGGTCGTACTCCCAGGAGTAGAAGTCGGTGGTGGCCGCTGTCTCCATGGTGGTGGGGCTGGGGTTTGCCTGCGCAGAGGGATGAGGAGCGAGGGAAGCTCCGGGCGTGCACCAGCCACAGCCGCAGCCCCGCTGCGGTGTGCAGCCTCCACCCAGCCCCGTGGAGCAGCACAGCTCGCTGCAAGGAGCCCCGGCAGCGCCACCGCCCCGGCCCCTTGTGGGCTGCCCCGTGCGCAGCGAGGTTTCTGTCTCACACCCTCTCCAAGGCAGCGGCGGCTTTTGCCTCGCTCAGTCATTGCGAGAGCAGCCGTGCCCTTCCCGTGCTCCCTGCTGCAGCTCAGGGCTGGAGGGGAGACGTGACCCCAGCCCTGGCGTCCCCGGCACAGCCCCAAATCAGCCCTGACCCCACCGTGGGGGAGCTGCTCCTGATGCCCCCAGGGGCTCGCACCCAGCCCATGACCCCGGGGGGCCCCATCCAGCCGGCCCCCAGGCTCCACGCTGGCGGTGCCAGGAGCTGTGGGTGCGCAGAGACCTTCCCCAAGCACCCTCGTGCTTGTGCATGAGCCCTGGGGATCCCTGTGGGGCTCAGCCCCACACTGCCTGGTCCTGATCCCTGGCCAGGGATGCACCCAGAGCATCCCCCTGCCTTGCACAGGTCACAGGTAGATGTGCCCAGTGCTCCCAGTGCTCCCAGCTCCCAGTGCCTGGTGCTTCCAGCTCCCAGCCCTGCCACAGGGGAAAGGGGCAGCACCGCAGCCTGGCACAGCACCACTGGGCCCTCATTGCTGGAGAGCTCAGGATCAGGATCTGACCCAAAGCAGCCTCACGGCTGCCGTCTCCCTCCTGCTCCATCGGTGAGCCCGGGAGGATGAGCCAGGGCTGCAGCAGTGCCCGAGTCCCAGCACCAGCCAGGATCAGCCCCCAGCAGCTCCCCCAGCTCCTTCCCCACCCTGGGCTTGGGGACCTGGAGCACCCAGCACTGCTCTGCCCTTCCCCAGGGCGCTGCCCCCCAACCCACAAGGTGCACAGGAGAACATTTTAAAGCAGAAATAGGAGCCAGAGAGCGGTGTCTCCGCCCGGACCCCAGCGAACCCTCACTGCAGCCCCTCACCTTCTCCATCGCCCTGCAGGACCTCTCCCCTCCTCGCCCAGTGGAGCCGCCGGTGTCTCCGAGCTCTGCAACCTGTGGTTTGAGCATGTGCTGCACCGATACCGAGAGCTGCGCTGAGAGCACAAACCCAGCCCCAGGGGGGGAAGGAGAAGCAGCCACGACCCTGCTCCGGAGCCGTGTCCCACATCTTCAGCTTTGTGGCCAGCATCTGCCCGCCGGGTGACAGAAATAGCTGTCCTCCGCTCAGCACTGGTGACACAGGGCTGGGGACAGCACCTGGGGGTGGGAGGAGAGGCTGGTTGGGGACACCCGGCGCTTCCAGGAGACCCCAGCCCAGGGGGCTGCTGTTTGCATCTCCCACCCCATGCGAGAGCCACACGGGGATGATGCCAAGGAGGGGAGCGGGGGCTGCTGTGGGCTGTTGGCACGGGGCTGGGCGCAGGCAGGATGCCTGGAGGGATGATTGGAGCCTGTGCTTGATGCAGGCATGGCTTGTCTGGTGGGAAACGGGGGCTCCAGGAACCGGGGGCAGCTGCTGGAGCGTGACATCCCCCCCGCCCCTGGGGTCCCATGCTCTGCTCTGTCCCCAAGCCCCTGTGCCCCCCCAGCGCTGGGGGGACGACCTGCTGGTTGTTGACAACGTTCCCTCCTCCTCCTTACGGGGCAGATTAGGATCTGTGGGGAAGGGGCCCCGCTTTCCTCTCCCCAGGGGGGAGCAAATTGATTCCAGGCTGCAGCAGGCGTTCTGCCTCTCGCAGCGGTAATCCCTCAATCCCTCCTTTCTCCTGGCTCCAGACGTCTTTCCCTGGCTTATCCCGGCTCTGCGCGGGGTCCCTGCTGGCCCCAGGAGCTCCCAGTTGGAGCCCCAGGGCCAGTGGAGCTGCTGGAAGCACGGGAGGGCTGGGGGAAGGGGCAGGGGTCCCTGGGGGGCAAATGCCCCGACACGGCTCGGTCGGAGCCACCAGCACTGCGAGGGGCTGGGGGACGATGCAGGAGGGCACCTGCATCCCCAGCCCAGGGGACACGGCTCCGGCTCCCCCCGCAGCCCCCCTGCACCTGGGGCTTTCTGTTCCCTCTTTCGCCCTCTGCTCCGGCCCCAGCTTTGCTCCTGCACAGGAAGCAGCCCCGGCACCACCGCAGGTGACAGCCGCGCCTGTGCTGCCCCTTGCAGCGAGGTGCCCGGCCACTTTGGGGTCCTGCCCAGCACCAGGACCCTGCTTGGACCCAGCAGCCCCCGGAGCATCCCCAGCCTTTGGGGTGAGCCTGCAGCTGCCCACCCAATTCCCCGCAGGGCACCGCGGGGCTGGGGGGAGGCAGCGTATGTAGGACATGCAGCGGCCACCCCCCTCGGTGGGTGTCTGGCACAGTTTGGGAGCAGACTGCGGGCTAAATCCCGGTCTTCTGCACCGCTGGGAGGACGGGCGACCCCTAAACCCCCAGGCCTTAATCTGCTGCTTGATTACAATCACCGCCACATCTGCTGGCACGGCGCAAATCCCTCCCTGCCTGGGTGCCTGGAACACGGCTGGGGGGGGGCTGCACCTCCCAGCCACCCGGCCACGCTCACCCCATGCAGTGCTCACCCCATGCAGTGCTCACCCCGTGTCCCACTCCCCCCATGCCCCACGAAGGGCTGCTGGCACCCAGTGCCCCTGCAGCCCCCGGGCTTTCGGTGCTGAGGGGTCCCGGGGATGCTCAGGGCTCTTGGGACCAGGACTGGGGGTCCTGGAGATGCTCAGCAGGGGGGGACTGGAGCTGTTGAGAGTGGGACTGGGGGTCCTGGTGTTATAAATGAAGTCTCAACTCAATCTGAATTTAGTAATATTTATAAAATATTTATAAAAGAATATTTATAAAAGGCAAGTAACCAGCACTGGGTGTGCGGGGAGTCCCCGCTCCACCAACACGCACACACGAACATCAAACATCCTAAATATGCAGAACATCACTTTACATGCTAAACCCGAGTCTGCCTATACAGATGTACAATCAGAAAAGGTAACAAACAATCCTCTAGGTTCCATGACTTAGCAGTCTCCATTTTCCATCCCTTTTGAACAAAATGTCTCGCTTTAAGTCAAGCAGCTCGGTCTTCAGGCCCTATGGATCCTGTTCTTCCCATATCAAAGAAAATCACGTCCATCCCCTTTTCAAGGCTGTAGGGCCTGGGTGAAAAGGCACCTCCAGGTCCCCACAATGTGCAACTGCTTACCAGCGAGGGGCAGTTTTGTGCTGGCTCCGCTTCTCTCAGCTCCAGCTTCTCTCCAGCCCCAGTGCCCCCATTTCCAGCGACTTTCTGTGCGAGCTCCTCTGAGCAGTTTGATTTTGGCCGAACCGATCTTCCTGATGCGATCAAAGTGCCTGTTCCCATCCTGGGCTCCATTCCCCAATCTGTTCCTCTTCACTCCTTTTTCCTGCTTCTTTATTGATGTAATTTCATCGCGTTGCCTTTTTTTTATCTTGAGGCCAGCTCCCCTCTTACCCCCTTCTCCCCCCACAGTTCTTTTCAAATCAACTTTTCGTTGGCCAAACAACTTTGCAAAGAACAGCAAACATCCAGAAACTTCCATGGAGTCTCCTGGATCACCCTTTTTGGTTCCCCCTAAACCCTTTTCCATTCCTGCTGGCCTCCTCGTTCAGAGTCCAATTTTATCTCAACCCCGGGGCTTTCCGCCCCCCATGGCCACCCTCCCAAATCTCCCCCTTCTTTATCAATACCAACCATCTCGACACGAGTTACCACTCCATGTATAACACCGGGGATTCTTGGAAAGGTGTCCGGGGGTTTTTGGGGAGGGGGACCGGGGGTCTCAGAGCTGCTCGGGGGGATGCTCAGGGCTGTCGGGACCGGGATTTGGGGTCCCGGGGGTGCTCGGTGGGATGCGTGGGGCTTCCAGGAGCAGGACCGGGGATCCTGGGGACAGTCGCTGCTGACACCCAGAGCTGTCGGGGGCAGCACCGGGGGTCCCGGGGGTGCTCGGTGGGACACCGGGGACCATTAATACCGGGACCGGGGGTCCCGGGCGATGCTCGGTGGGATGCTCAGGGCTGTCCCGGACCGGGACCGGGGGTTCCTGGGGCTGCTCGGCGGCATCTCGGTGGGATCGGGGGGGGGCTCAGCGCTCGGCCCCATCCCCGTGCCAGCTCCCCGCCCGTCCCGGGGCCGCCCCGTGGGTGGAGCCGCCGGTCCCGTTCCGCCGCGCGGCTGCAGCAGCACCGGGAGCGGCGGCGCCGAGGGCGCTCGGGGCGCTCCCAGCATGGGCGTTCGCCGCCTCCTCGGGCTCCTGCTCGCCGCTTGCGCCTCGTTCCTCCTCCCCGGCCCCGGCTGCCTCGCACGTAAGTGGGGCCGCGGCCCCGGGAGCCGCCGCTCCGCACTGCGGGACGGAGCCCGGCAGCCCCCGAGCATCCCCCGAGCATCCCCCGGTCCCCCCCCCAGCCCCGGTGTGTCTGTGTCCCTCCCTCCCCACCTCTCTCCAGCCCCGGTTTCCCGGTTCTCCCGGGCACCCCCCGGTGTCCCTCCCGGTTCTTTTCCCCCAAGGTCACCGCCGGACCCAGCGGCCGGGCGCCCCCCCCGAGCCCCGCCCGGCGCTGCCCCGCCGCAGCCCCCCCCCCCCCCCCGCCCTCAGGCTCGTCCCGGTGTCTCCGGTGGTCCCGGGGATGCTGAGCACCGGGAGCCGCATCCCACGACCGTACCGGGTACCCCGAGGCGGGGGGGGGCAGCCCCCGGAGCCCCCCGGTGCGGCTCCGCCGGGACCACGGGCAGAGCCGCAGGGATGCTCGGGGCTGGCCCCACGGCAGGGGGGGGCTGGGGAGGGGCAGGGGGGGTGCAGGGGTAGGGGAGGGTCGGGGCCTGGGGGCTGCAGCCCAACTGAGGCGGGGGGCAGCGGGGGGGTGCTCGGGGGGGGCGCTGGGTATGGGAGAGGGAGGCAGGGGGTGATGATGGGGGTATAGGGGGGTGGGGGGGGTTGGGGGGGATTTTTGGGGGGTGGATCTATGGCAGAGGATCTATGGGGGGTGAATCTATAGGGGACGGATCTATGGGGGGGGTAGAGCTATGGGGAGATGGATCTATGGGGGGATGGATCTATGGGGGGATGGATCTATGGGGGGAGGCAGACAGGGAGAGGTGGAGGCTCGGGGGGGGGGGGCTGGCATCGTGGGCACACCGCAGCTGCCCTTGTCCCCAGCCAGCCCCCCCCAGGTGCAGGAGACCCCCCTGGAGCTCCTCCGGGACACCTCACCGGGGGCTGCCCGACCCCCACCCTACAAGCGGCTCGGAGCCCCCAACCCCACCGCGGTCCCCTCTGCGGATGCCACCAGGATTTGCGCCCCCCCCCTACCCCTGCAACTCCCCCTCCTTCCCCTTTATCCCCCCCTCCCAGAGCCCCCAGCGGGCTCCCGGCCCAGCAGCTGTCCCTGGGCCGTGTGGGACCGGGCTGGGGGGGTGCAGGGCTGGCTGGGGAGGGGGCTTCCCCGGCCGCCCACGGCAGTGCGGAGGCAGCTGGTGCTGGTGCGGCGCCGGGAGCCCGCAGAGGTGCGTCAGCTCCCGCTGCAGTGGGAGGGCAGAGGCAGGAGCAGAGCTGCCAGGGAAGGATCCGTCGCTCCTCCGGCTTTGCGGGGGGCTGGGGGGGTCCATGAGCCACCGGTGAGGACCCTTCCCAAAAGTGGGAACCGCGGGAGGGGCCGGCAATGGCTGCGCCATCCCCCCCCCTCGCCGCTGGGTTCTCGGCGCTGGGCTCAGCGGGGCGTGGAGACGCAGAACCGCTGGGTCACGGTGCGGGGCGAGGGCCCTGCTGCTGCTGCTGCCACCGGGACGGGGCTCGGAGGGTGGCTGGGGGATGGCTGCCTCCTCCACCCCACGGATCTGTCACCCCGTGGGTCCCTCACCCCATAGATCGACCACCCCGTGGATCCGCCACCCCCCGTCTCCATCACCCTAAGGATCCATCACCCCTTCCTCCATCACCCCTTCCTCCCTTAATCCTGGCACCACAGAGCTGCTCCCCACCCTTTCCCCACGCTGCTGGGGTTTTGGGGTCACCGCACCCCATGTCGGACCCCCCCTCGTGCCCAGCACCCCTTTCCCCCACAGGACCCTGTTACGATGAGCTGGTCGCGCCCCTCTACTCCTCATCCATCGGTGCCTCCTCCAGATACAACATCTTCTACTCAGCCAGCTTCGCCCGGCTGCACAGTGAGTCCCCCCCCTGCCTGTGGGG